AGAGCTCTGTCCTGTCATAAAAAATATATATTACCAAGTTCAAACCCTTGTGTTTCTTTTCTGCTGGCATAATAACTTTGAAATGTATTATTGCTGAGACACTCGCCTCCCTCTCTCTCTGCCAACAACTCCCTGGAGAAAAGCACTAGCAGAAGAAAAAAACTTTTTACAGCTTCTTCATAAAAGAAGTCAGCAATCCACTGGACCTAATCAACTTTTCCTAGCGATGATGGGAACAGAGCTTCAGCTGCAGTACACAAATAGAACCTCATTGATATGTCACAGAGAAGGCTCCAAATGTGCTCTCTGTCTTAGTTGGTCTCTGCCATGCAAAAATTTGTGTTGCTGACTCCTCTGCCAGCTGTACAAGGGAAGGGTGGAGGACCAATACTGCAGTCTCGGAAGAACTAATAGGAATAGAGAAGCATTTAAGTAAAACCACTCACTAACACTACAGATCTCCTTACCAGGTCAGCCTGCCAATGCATCAGCACAGCTGGAAGGTGTGTGTGAAGAGAACCCACAGCTGATTTAGGATAGCAGCCTAAATCAGGTGGTTTTAGGCTGCTTCTTTCACTCAGCCACAAAACACTGGTGCCAGAAATCTCAGCAAGAGCCACATTAGTGGCTGGTCTTTCCACTGCCAGGAGCTGTGTCATCTGCAGGAGAAGACTTCCATTTCAGAAAGCACCTGATGGCCTCTGAGCTAATTTTCCCTGCTCCCAGAGATATAGGCAGCCACAGATGTGGTTAGAACTTTGATTATTTTTTTAAAATCATTTGAGAAATCATCTTGCCAGAGAACAGTTGGAAATGATAGTCCTAAGCAGCACAGAGGCAGCTCAGCTGGCAGACTTCAAAATAGGGCCATTGTATTAAGCATTTAAACTGGAAAAATTAATGGTTTGGCAGTGAGAGACTAGATCAAAAACTGATGCTCTCCTGGGGTTTTGCAAGTAGACACGGACCAAGGGCACGAGGTGGGGCTGAGCTGGCCCAGCATGCTGCTCAGCTCTGCAGAATGGGGCTGAGCCAGGCAGGGTGTCCCTGCCATGGGCAGCTCGGACCCAGCCAGGAGCACCCCATGTCACTCGGCCTTGCTGCATCCTGGTTCCCTTCACCTGTCACCAGGGACACCAGCACTCTCTCACCCAGCAGCACACTGGGGAGTGGGAGAGCATCCCTGCATGGAGTAGGAGAACATCCTGCCCAGCAGGTCAGGGATCTCAACCCATGCTGCAAAATCTGGATCCCAGTGCCGTTGTTTCTGGGGTGTGCGCTGGCTGCAGCAGCAGCAGTGGGCAGCTACAGGCACCTGAGAAACCACGTGTGTGAGGCAGTGGTTTGGGGCAGACCACAGGGGACTACTTCTTCCTTTCCTTCTATTCCTAGTGGAGAAATAGAAAGGCAAGTGTAATCAATTTGGCATGTATCTATTTACTATGAGCACATACAAAAGACTCATAACAGATCTCCTCCCCCACCTTTGGCAGCCAGCCTACATGTTGGCAAGCAAAAGATGTTATCTTAAAGATTCACTGCAATACCCTGAGTCATGCTGGAAGTTTGAATCCACCAGGAAGCCTGCTGAAGCCAAGGCCCTGGTGCAGGGACGCTGCCTTCCTTTGTGTTGCTCACAGTGATGTGCGCTGGGTCGAGTGCTCCACAGCACCGAGGGGGCTCACGGAGAGCAACACTCCCCCCGCCTGTCCCAAAGAGAGGGACACAGGAGCGTCCAGCCCTGGCCCCGGGGCCAAGATTACAGCAGCACCGCTCCACCGAAATTCTGCCTCAGCCATCTGGGCTTTAACTGGAACTCCAGCCAAACCTCACCTTCCTTTGCACGGCCCTCGGGGACAAGTGAGGTTGCTGGGGTGGCTGCCTTGGGGGACCGTGCTGCGGGAGACGCGGTAAGCTGGGGTGTGTGACAGAGGAGCAAAGGCAGTGGAGCTAAACTGATTTACATCAGCCGAGGAACTACTGCACGGTTGGGCAACAGAGCATAGCCATTCAGGGAGGAACAGCAAACTCAAAGCCCAGCATTAACACAACGCTCAGCTGAGCAACTCAAGGACTCCGAGGAGAAGAAATTCAAACCATGCAGCTGTCTTAAATCAGGTGGATTTGGAAGCCGAGAGCTTTTTCATGTCCTCGTCAGGCAAATTGGGACTCATGCAGAAATATGAACTTTTCTGGGGGAAGAGGACTCCTTCTCCCAAACTGTAACATTTTCTGTAAAAGCAGGTATTTGTTCCCACTATTTCAGTGACAGTCACTTTTCAGAGTAGCCAGAGCTCAGCAGAAATAGTCATACAGCCTCTGCAGACGATGGGATACTGCATACCCCAGTAGTCCTCAGCAGACAGCAGAGCCTGGACCACAAAACATGTTTTAACCAGACTGTGTAGCAACAAGTTTTCAGCCATCCCTGGACAGAAAACCAGCACAGAAGCACAAATGCTTCATCACTGAAATCCATTTGAGGGAAAGGGGGCTCACAGGGGCTTTGCAGTCTGCAATGGCACAGAGGCCCCGGATGTACATCAGAACCACATTTTGGGGAGAGGTAGACACATCTGCATACAACCAGATGGAATTAGCACATTTGTGGCAGTGTTAGTTATTGCAGGGAGATGTATAGATCTGAAGGCTAAAGGATCAGATAAAAGCATTTCATGTGAACTCCTGCAAGACACAGGTCACAGAAACACAAGCCCATAATTTCTGTCTGACCCCAGGCTGTCTCTTAGAGAGATCTTCAGTCTGGATTTGAAGATACTGAAGGATGGAGACTCTTCCATCCTTCCAAATACATTAGTAAGGAATCTTAAGCATTAACAAGGGAGACACCCAGTTTTCACCTGTCTTCATCTTTCAGGCACTGTATATTGTTATGCTTTTGTCCTCCAAATTAAACGGCACTCTGCTCCCAGAAGGCTTATTTCTAAATAAGTACTTAGAGATGATGATCCAGTCACCTCTTAACCTTCCCTTTGTTATGCTAAATTAGTTTAAACTTCCTTCATGGCTCCCTTCAGAGAGAGTTTTCCAACCTCTGAACCTTTTTTTTCTCCCAAGGCAACGCCTGGCAACCACTCCAGCCCCATTGCCCCACCAAAGGAGCTGCTTAATTGAGCAGGAAGCCAAAGCTGATTAAGCAAATCACACTGGAAGGTAAGGAAATATGCAGATGGACACACCCTTGGTGTCCTGAGGCTTCCACAAAACTTCCTTGTCCCAGACTGGACACGCTGATAGCCGACCAGCATCCCTCCACGAGTGCCCTGCCAGTGGCACCCTGCCTGGTGTCCCTGCTGCTGCCATCACCCAGCCACATGGCCCTGGCTCTCCAAGGGCACCGGGAGATGCTGTGCACAGCCAAATCTGTTAAGCAATTAATTAACAGTGATAATTAACCTCTTCGATTACTTTTATGCCTTTCCAACAAAACTCTGGGGTGCTTTTGTTTACTTGCTGTGTGGCAACTGCTTGATGGATTTATATGAAGTAAATTAATAAATAGGAAGTGCCCATGGAAAGAGATAATTGGAAGGACTTAGTGTCACCGATTAAATTATCCATTCAAAAAGCAAGCGTTTCAGCAAAGCTTTTTTCTTCTCTCCTACATCTGCACATCAGGAGCTCAGTGCCTGCCAGGCCACCTTTCGCTGTGCCGGCGCATCTCTCCTTAAAGCCCATCCCTGCCACAGCGCTTCAAAGGCACGTGGCGGTGGCTGACAGCGAGCATGGCATTTGTCACGCTGACCTGCACCGCCGCATCGTTCCCCTGCTGTCCCAACACCCGTCCTCTGCCCGCGGCCCCGCGGCTGCCGCCCCCGAGCCCCGCACCGACATTTCCAGCCCGCCAGCACGGGGCCTGGCCGGCTTCAGCAGCACAGAGCCGGGCTCGGCCTGGGCCGGCCGGGCCGGCACCAGCGGGGCACGGCGGGCCCTGGGGCCGGCATCGGCTCTGGGCCCCGCGGGCTCTGGGGCTCCTCGGGTTCTGGGGCTGGCACCGGCTCTGGGGCTCTTCGGGCTCTGGGGCTGGCACCGGCTCTGGGCCCCGCGGGCTCTGGGACCGGGCACGGCGGGCACGGCGCGGGACCCGCTCGGTGCGTGAGCCCCGAGCTCCACCTAGCGGGGCCGGCAGGGGCCAGGCCGGGCCCGTCGGTAGAGCCCCGCGCTGCCGGGGACACCGCTGCCGCCGGGGACACCGCTGCCGCCGGGGGCTGCCAGCCCCCGCCCAGAGCCCCCGCTCAGCTGCCCACAGGGCCCGTGCCCGGGCAGAGCAGAGCAGAGCCAGCAGAACGGCTCGGAGGGTTCCTCTCTAAGATGAGCCCGTCATGGCAGGAGAGGGCCCGTGCTGCCGAAAGGAGCGGGGAACTCAGCTGGGCAGAGCGGTTTGCGGTGGCAAGGGCTGTCCCTGCACAGGCGGCACCAGAAGGAATGGCTCCTCAAGGACCATCTACAAATACCACCCCGGGCACACGCACATGGTGCATCCCGTGGGCCTTCCCCGGCAGAGCTGGCACCGGGGCTGGTGGTGCAAGGTATGATACCATCAACGCAGGTGGCTGCTGTACCTGCAGCAGAGCAAGCACATCCCAGGGTCAGAGTTCAACCTAGGAATTCAGTGGGGTGAGGAATGTTTGCGTCTTCTCCTTTCTAAACCCCAGTGCTTTAGTGACAAAGCCAGCACTGATACCAACTGCAGGCTTTCTAAATTGCTCTTTGCCTCTCTTCTCTCTGGCTCTTTCTCAAAGATTTCTCACTAAAACACTCATGGAAAAGTTCACAGGCTGCTTTTATGAGTAGGTTTTTTATAAAAACTGGCTTGTTCATGTAAAGTTCCCTAGACTTTTTAGGTTTTCTTTTCTGTGTAAATTTGGAGAAGGGATACAGACAGATTCAAGGCCTGGGTGACATTTTCAGACACTACTTTGCTCCAGAAGTCACAAGGTCTGAGCTTTTGCATCCCATTCTCCATGGAGAATTAACACATCCTTCCCACCAAAGAAAGAAGGTTAGATAGTCACTTCTGGCTTTACTTTTGCAGAACAGTGCAATATTTGGTGTTCCTGAGGAGTCCTGAGAGCACACTTGGCATGGGGTGAGAGGAGCTGCTGCCCAAACCTAGTGTCCAGGTGGTGTTCAAAGTTCATACTCCAGATGAGAGGGAGGTGGATCAGCCCTCCTTCTGGCTGGGTCTCCTTCCCCCACCACTTACCTGTGCTTAAAGAAAACAAGGCTGCAGCACAGAACATCATGACATTTACCCTAAAAAAATTAAAGAAAGCAACAGAAGTTAACTTACCCTCTTTATTTAAGTCAATGGGGCAAGAGTTCAGTTTTTTCTCTGCAGCATTGAGAGCAGCCACCTTTTCCCTTTTGTAAGGAAGAGCAGAGCTGGTCACTGAGGCTTTAGGGAAAGTTCAGCTCCTAGGACTGGTAACAGAGGGGCCCGGCATCCTACAGGATGGAGAAGAGCTGCAACCACCCTCTGTGTTTCTCCAGTTTTGTGTTGACATTTTTATTTCATGTTGCTCCTTATCAGCTCAGGGCCAGCCTGGCCCACAGGCAGCTGATGACATTTCCAGTCATCGGCATTTTTCCAGTTGAGCTGAGATTAAGCCAGTGTCTTCTGGTAAGGACTTGGACATTAAAAGACGGAAAGAGTGCTAACAGCCTCATCAACGACCCGGGCTTTCCGTGGTCGGGCAGTGCCCCTGCCATGGTGCCTGCTGTGTTTCAGAGCTGGTGCCACCTGCACTGGAAAGGTTCAGGGAGGGCTGATGGCCAAGCCAGCAGGGTGCTGTGCTGTGCTGTGCTGGCACGGGGACCTCAGGCACTGCCACACTGTGGCTGGCTGCTTCCACCTGGCCAATCAAATGAGTCCAGACATCACCTACCTCTTCTGCCAGAAAAAGCAGAATAAATTGTAAATCAGGGTCTGCAAAAGCTTTGCCAGCAATGCTCCTGCCTGTGCCCTGGCTGCCCACCTGTTGCAGCAGGGTTGGCTCTGACTCTCTCTAGGAATAGTGTTGGGCACCTGATTCCCAAATTGGATTTGGCACTCCAGGGCAGAAGTCCATACAGAGGACACCAAATAGTCTTAGTCAGCTTTTCTGCACCTGAAAATATCACCAATTTAAAGTTTTTTTGTTCTGGCTTTCCCAGGATGTATCAAGAACTTGACTCAAAAGAACACAGCCTGCAGCCCGGTGAGACACCAAGCCTTGGGCATATAAAAGTGTATGGAGAAACATAAAAATACATTTCTCCATGTATTGAAGCTTAATTTTACATGGTCTGGACATTGCCAGGGCAAGACAGGTAAAAAATGACAGTATGTTTTATGGATGTGCACACACACCCCCTAGAAACATAAAAATACATTTCTCCATGTATTGAAGCTTAATTTTACATGGTCTGGACATTGCCTTATGGAGGAAAGGGCAAGACAGGTAAAAAATGACAGTCTGTTTTATGGATGTGCACACACACCCCCCGCAACACAGCTGGCTCAGTTCATTCTGAGAAATCCTCTGTGAAGGCCCCCACTTTGGCACTCTGGCAGAGGAAGCTGTGGCTTGCTCAAATATGTGCCCACAGATTCCCAGCTAACAAACTAGGTACTGGCGTTTAGGAAGGCAGAAAAATGGCATGTGTGTCTTGGCAGGTGTCTGTAATAACAAATAACAGTAATCATAATAACAAAAATTACAATAATCATAAGAAACAGTAATAAAGAACCCTGCATGCTGCCAGCTGGACTGAATTGCCTGTGCAGAGCAGTCCGTGAGCACTCCTCGCTCAGAAAGCAGAGATGCCACATTATCAAACAATTCCTTATCTGCAGAGAGCCAATGAGCGTGGGCTGCTTCCTCTGGTCTCTTTACCCCCAACAAAATCTTCCACCAGCAGTGAAAAAATCACTTAAATCGTAGGTATTCACCTGAAATCAAAGCCCTGGCAAGTTATTATTGCCCTGACACTCTTCCCAAAAGGAGGTTAATGCTGAGTTCTTTATCCCTTCTGTATCCCTGCTTTCCCTGTCAACCTTGATTTTTTGCATTTGCAGGCAGTTCTGCTCTATTTGACACAGCTCACCTGCCTGTCTAATGGCTTCACATCGTCCGTCTGTCCTGCGGAGCAACCCCCCACGGCAGCTCTGCCTGTCCCACCTGCATGCCCACCCTCAGCAACTCACCTTTGGAAACACATTTCCTTCCCATCTAGTGCAAGGGATGAGCTAAGCTGTGAATGCCAGCCTTGCACAGCACTGCCCACAGCTGGGCTATGAGGAGGCAGCAGCCTCAGCCCTCTGTGAGAGGTGAGGAGATGAGGGTGGGCCAAGGAGGGCAGCTGGCATCCCCTGGCCAGGCACAGGGCTGATCTGCTCAGGATCAGCCGGCCTCCGGTGCAGGAGGAGCTGCAGGCACTTCTTCAGCTGTACCCCTGTGGGATGGAGGGCAGAGGAGCTTGGGGATCAGGCAGCTGCTCCTGCAATTGGATGTTAGAATTAAAATTAGGGCTTGCCATGTGTTTTACTCCGTGTGTCTGGCTGCTGGCTGGGCAGCAGAGAGCCCAAGAGATAAGCCAGTACCATGAGCCTTGCCACCCACCCACAAAGCAACCGTGCAGCTGAGATGCCTACAATATAATTTTGTTTCCTAAGAACAATGTTTCTACTTCCCCAGGTCCCTGGGCCTCACCCCAGCAGCCCCACAGGCAATATCTCAGCGCTGCTGTGGGCAAAGCTTCAACAATCTGCTGCCTTGGCCAGCCATGCACCCCTGCCCCAGCCTGCTGCTGAAGCCCCTGCTGTCACTGCCTGTCTCTGAGGGGCACAAAGGTCCAGGGAGCAAACTCCACCCATATTCCCCCTGTGTGACATCCACTGGGTGGGCTGTGAGGGTGTTGGAGTTGCCTGAGCTCCTGCCAGCCTGGGAGCATTGTAGGAGAGCTCTGCCTGCTGACCCGAGCCCCAGGATGTGACAGAAAGCCGTGTGTGCTGACAGAGAGCACAGCAATGGCCTTCCTGTGTGCTGTTGGGATGCGGGTTTGGAGCTGTTATGTTTTCTGTGTACAGTGAGATCAAAATATGAGCTTTCAAAATGACTTGAGATTAGCTGGAGGGAAACAACAGAGAGGAAGTGCAAAGCACATCCCTGTTTGATTTAACTGCTTGCACACCATGCACACACTGCCCTTCTGCAAAGCCCAGGCAATGTAGCCCTGGTGGGCTCTGGAAAATTGCACCCTTGGCTCAGGGCACGTGGGTCCTCTTTATAAGTGACCAAGGCTGTTCTGGGCTCAGCCAGGGCCAGGCAGGACCCCTGAGCCTAAATCTGCCCTTCTGTCTCTGGTACAGGGTCTCAACTGGACTAGGGTACCCTGGAGCAAGGTTCAAGGTGATCTTGAGTCCTCAGCTATAATCAGGCGTGCTGAAGAGAACCATAGAGAGCTGTTCCCAAAGCCACTGGAGGACACGGGGAGAGCAGGGGCTGCTGCTTTGGCAGGGATCACCAACATCACATGCACACCGCTGGACATGCTGAGGAGCTGTCCCCACCACGCTGTGCACAGCCACACCAGCCTGCCTGCCTGCCAGCAAAGCAGGTCTGCAGAGCACATTCCAGCTGTTTACAGGCTTAAGATATGCAGATACATGAGGCACAGGCCTCAGACTCCAAAATACCTCATTGTACTTGCAAATGAAGTGTCTCAGTATTTAAGTGCACAGAATTTGCAGGTGCCATTAATTTTCCCCACAGTTTGGTGTCTGGTGTTAACTGGAGGCAGGAGAGTTGTCAACAGGAGAGCACACCTGCAGTTTTGAAGCTGCCTTAAAATCAGTGACAAAACAGCTACAAAATCCAGAATCAAACTCAGGCAAGCTGATGAAGCCTGCAGAAGAGCCATCCCAGCAGGACAGGGCAGCTGTTGTCACCTGTGGAGCCAGGCAGACACAGTTGCTGTGTCCCTAAAAGGACCATGAGACCCACTTACCTGACAGCCTGTTAGTGCTGAAGCTGCTGCCAGCCAGTCTGTTCTGTTTCCTGAAGAAGAGCCGAGGTGATAAACACCCAACAGGTGCTTTTTCATCACAAAAGAGGAAAAAAATAATCAGCAAGTGATACACTCTTCTAGTAAAGCTTCTTTCCCATCAGACTGTCATGGGTAACTGCCAAAAAATGTTCAGACTGGAAGATGAGACAAGGAAAAGCTTAGAGAGGTTCATTACACCTGAAAACGAGATACCTGTTCAGAGCAGTGGTTAGGAAAGGAGTAGCATCAACATTGTCTGCAAGTTTCCAGCAAATTAATGCTTCTTACCCAGTGTCACCAGCAAAGGGATGGTTAAGGAAGGGGAAACTTTACCATAAAATGTGCAATTCTTGGTGGGATATGATGAAAAGAAAGAGACAGGATCATCTTACTTCCCAAGGGAGCCTGGGGGTAGTTATGTGCTGGCATTCACTAAGAGCCAATGGAAACTGAAAACAAGGAGGATCACTCAGCTTGCAAGTGGGATTTCTGCAGCAGAAGATGACTGGCTGCATCAGGACAGCCCCTAGGAGAGGTGGGATAGATGGCAGTCATAATTTTTGTGCAGGTGAAGTAAAGCAGTTTTAGGGAAAATAAATGGGTTTAGTAAGGTCTAGGATTCAAATGCAGGGGTTTCATTAAGTATAAATTGTCCCTTGTGTTGGTGTAGTATAAATTGTCCCTTGTGCATATGGCATGGCAACACCTCACAGTCACCTGCTTCCTCTTCAAGATATTCCCAAGAGGTAGGAAGGTGCAATTAGCAGCTTACAGCATCAAGAAGCATGTGCAGGAGCATGGGACATTTCTGGTTTAGCCATGGGATGACCAAGTGTCTCAGCAAGGGGCCACTTTCCCCCTGGACCTGAGCCTCATAAGACACCACAAAGGACTGGGGGAAAGTTTCTGAGCAAACCAGCATAGCAAGGGCTGTGCTGGCTCCTCCAGCTGCTAACATGGAGGAGGCTCAGGGAGGATGAAGGCTGGGAAAGGGGAAGCCCATCTTCCTCCTCTGCTCAATAATAGTGCGGAGGAGGAAGGAGAACAGTGTTTGTTCTCACCTGTATTTGGTCATAAGTGAAAGCTCTAACAGCAAGATAATCTGTGGGTTTTCCTGTGAATAGGTGAAGTGACTCTCAGATTAGAAAGTGCTGAGCAGTGCTCCTGGCAGTTTATCTTGCTAATGCTTCCTTTAAGATCCTACTCCAGACAATGCAAGTGATGACTCCTTTTACAAAACTTGGCCATAGAAGTTAGATTAGCACAGGACAGGTAGTACAAGCTCACCTGTGGAGATTGCCATGAGCCGGCAAAGCCACACATTATCTTTCAGAAAGGGGCTTGTGAACCAGGTGTACTTTAAAACCTCACAATCAGTGCTGTAAATTGTGTGCTCACACCCAGACTCCAGTGGCAGACATAAGAAAAGTCCCAAATAAAAGGTCCTCTCTAGGAAGGACATGACAGATCATAGAGAAGTCTCAAGGAAAAAAGGTGTTTGCAGAGGAGCTTCACTCAGTGAGTCTGGAGCTGTCAAAATCCAGGTTGTCAGGATAATTGACGAAAAACAATTTCTTAAAGAGTAATGAGCTAAAATGAAGGAAAGGTATTTCCTCAGCTCTGGCAATGAGGTATACTGTTTCACATAGTGGAAGAGCCTAGTGAGACATTTTGACGTACATACTCAGACATTGAAGAGCTCCAGCCTCTTTAGGAAATTAAGTAATGAGAGTGAATAAGAATAAAGGAAAGTGCCTCTTTGGAGCAGATGAAAAGACTCCAGATGTGTACATGGCTGTGACTGCTTCATATTGTTTGGGACTTTTAGTCCTGAAAAAAAGAGAGACAATCCTGACAAAATATGTAAGTCTTCACCTGAATGCTATAAAGACAGAATCAAATTTAATGTTAAAGCTCAAATACAGAAAGGAAATGCAAGAGGAAATGAAAAGTGAAAAATAATCTCACCTTGAAAAAAGTAATAAAGATATTCCACTTCCTCATGCTCTCCCTTATCTCACATCACTTGGGGAGCATTGATTCTGCTCACATGTGAG